CGCGGCACGTGGCATGGGCTTGAGGACCACTGCCCCCCTATAGTAGATAAATAGTAGTAACTTTAGTGTTTGGACAAGTATACCCCTACCCAAGCCCCAACAGCTTTTAATTAAATATTTAATTCATAATAAATTCGAAAACAAATTCAAAAAATCGTAGAAAAATAATTAAAAAATTTATAAAATATTAATAAAATAAACAATTTAAACAAATATTTTTTTAAATTTTTTATTTTTTTTAAAAAAAATTAATAAAAAACAGTAAACTCCATAAAAAAATTAAAAAAATATGGATGCCTTTCCCACCGCCTGTACTACCTCCCTGCACCATCACCTCCGGGCGGTGAAAAAAATTCCATATTTCCTAAAAACTGCTTTTTTTTGAAAATGCCAAAAACATGACATATTTCTTTTTGCGAATGACAACATTTTCATTGTTTTCTGCCATAAATATGGCATTCGTAATGAACTTGGCATTTTTTCCCCTGGTGACGAGAGGTGGTGGTGCTGAGGCGGCGGTGAATTTTATTTTATTTTTTTGAGTTTTTTATTTTTTTAAAATTTTTTTTTATATTTTTTTAAAAATAAATAAATAAATAAATTATTATCGAATAAGTCATAAATTAACTAGGTTATGATTAAATAAGTCATATTTAAGAATTAACTAGGTTAGAGATATTAAGGGTACAAAATTAATGTTTACTCCTATTGAAGGAAGTTTTAAGTTTTACTCCTATTTGTGCAATTATGTTTATATTTGCTCCTATATTGGGCAATTTCTTTAGATTTTTATAGTTACGATTATCATTATTATTTTGTCAGAAAATATGAGACATCGTGACATTATGGTGCAATATGACAAGTATGAATATTATGGAAATATGTTTCTATGTGAGAAAAGTATATTTTGAAGGTAAAAGAATGGTTAACATATGTTTCAAGTCTTGGGAGTGATCCTGAGGGTCCAAACAAAACCCGCACGGGTAGCTCAGTTGGTTCAGTGGTGGGAAATTTGGACCAAGTGACCAAGGTTTGAAACCCGCAGCGGCCGTGTGGAGGTCCCAGAATCTGAAATAAGGCTGGGCCTCTGGTGCGCACGGGAAAAAGGCTTACCATCATTGGGCCGACTGAGTCACCGTGATTAACATCCTCCCAAAAATCCTGTCGGGTCGGGGTATGGGGGGCTCATGGAGTGGGAGATTCCATCTTTTGGACCAAGAGGGTCCAAAGAAAAGATAAGACGAAAGTAATGAAAGTTTATGTGAAATGTGCAAATTCTATTTTGCATAGGAGCAATGATTCTGAAGATGAAGTATTGATTTTGCATTGATGAGACTGAAATTACACCCAATTGACACATTTCATCACTGTCTTGCTATATTTCATAATGAGTGGATAAAAGTTTATTTCAAGATGTTAAAAGTTTATTAAACTCTTCATAATTAACTAAAAGAAGACATTTCATAATGAAATAACTATTGTTTCATAAAGACCACAATGATGTTTCACATACTATGTGTTGGAAAACTTCAAGTATTCCAAAAGAAATTTTGGACTTGGCTTGTTAACCTTGTCCCACACCAGTTTTCTTAAGGAAGTCTTGAGCCTATTTAAGTGCTTACTTTTTGAGGAGTGAAATGCAAAAAGAGAATTTTTCTGGTGCACCTGTTCGCAAAAATAATATACTTGATGAGTCTCAAAATACTGTTTCATACCCTTTTGATTTTTGATTTTTTTTTAAGCTTATACCCCTTGGATAATAATTGCTAAATGTTTTGAGTTTTGACGGACTACATTTTAAATACAACGTTCTTATTTATAATATTTCAACATTGATAAGCCGGGCAACAACGGCCATATTTGCTGGTTTGGTTAGGTATATAAACTTGCTGCCTCGTTTTAGTGAGAAAAAATCTGTTCGACTCTAAAATTTTACTGGATTAATAATAAAAAAAAGGATGACACCCCATCCATGAGGGCCCCCCAACTCTGACCGGACGGTACGTTGGGAGGATGTAAATTGGATTATAATCCCAATCTGACAGATAGCGAGTGAGGCTCTGTCCCCGATACTTGCAGAGGCTGAAGATCTTGTTATATCTTGAGAAAAAATTTTCGCTAGTCGAAAATAATTTATTGAGGATAACGTTCACACGTCTCGAGCTATATATTTTACCTAACGTTATTTAACAGATTCATCTAGCCAAAATTTTCACCAACACTATAGTGTTAATGTTAGTAATAGTGCAACTTGTTCATCCATTTGCGCCTCAGAGTTTACATGTGAGCTAACCATACAAAATGAGTTTTTTTCCCGGAATAATGCTAATTAAATAAATAATTCCCAAAATACTGCTGGGTTTAAAATAATTCCCAAAATATTGCTGGGTTAACCGTGGTTAAGAAAAACCGTCACTTGAAGTGACGGCTCTTCTCTTATAGTACAAAAACCGCCACTTGGAGTGACCACCCTTCTCTTACGGCCCATTTTATACATATATAAAACGCAGTATGTTTCAAGAATTTGATTAACTGCCTTCCAGATTCAATTTTGAGCTAAAATTTGGTATGCATAAACTAGACTTGATGAGAAAAATGTTCAAAATTAAAATTTCACCAAAAAAATCCATCGGAAACACCCTCTGATGGTGTTTTCCGCGGGGGGTTCCGGTCAGGACGTCATGACAAAAGGGTGGTCCGGCCACCTCAATTTGAGGTGATTCCCGGTGGTATGTTTTGATGAATTTTTTTGTGCATGTTCTTCATAAAGTTTAGTTCATTCATACCAAATTTTAGCAAAACATTCAATCCGAAAGGCCGTCAAATGATTTTTGAAAGATAACTACGCCGGATTATACATATAAAACACAATTATCTTTAAAAAATCATTTAACTGCTTTCCCGATTGAAATTGGTTCTGAAATTTGGTATTGATTAACTAGACTTAATGAATAACATACAAAAAAAATTCAGCAAAACATCCCACCGAGAACCACCTCAAATTGAGGTGGCCGAACCACCCTTTTGTCATGACGTCCTGACCGGAACCCCCTGCGGACAACACCATCAGAGGGTGTTTCCGGTGGAATTTTTTGATGAAATTTTTTAAGCATGTTCCTCATCAATTCTAGTTTATGCACACCAAATATGAGCTCAAAATTCAATCGAGAAGGCAGTTAAACAAATTCTTGAAACATACTGCATTTTATATATGTACAAAATGGGCCGTAAGAGAAGAGCCGCCACTCCAAGTGGCGGCTTTTGTTTATAAGAGAAGAGCCGCCACTTCAAGTGTCGGCTTTTCTTAACCACGGTTAACCCAGCATTATTTTGGGAATTATTTTAAAACCATCAGTATTTGTATGGTGTGTCTCGGTTGAACGAAGAAATATTAATTAATAAAAATAATTAATTAAAAATAGCCAAAGAAAAACTGAAAAGAGATGGGACAGAGTTTAGCCAGAGCTCGTGCTACGCACGATGTCCTTAAAATGTATTCGTCACCTCCCACGGTGTTAGGAGCGTTGCAACGATCGTTTCCCAGGATACGGTGGCTAACGAACTAACGTTTGAGCACACAAACGAGAGTTCTAGCGAACGGGAACAAAGGAGAACACTCAGAATCTTTCAGAGTAGTGGGAAGTGTTTTAGAGCTCAAAAATATTGTGTGTTGTGTCTGAACGTGTGTTTGTTGCAAACCACCTGTCTGCTATTTATAGGAGGATTTGTTGTGTGTTAAATGAGGTGTTAATGGACCTGAACGTTGGACATCAATGAGCAGTCTGTTGGGCAGTGAATCGTCCATAAACTGTCCATTTAACGCAGCATTAAAAGACAAGAACGTTGGACATTTATTGTTGTAATGGACCAGAAGACCCCAACAGAACACCTCGAGGTGTTCTGTCCGGAAGCCACCAGAGGACCTCACCGGAAGCCAACAGAGAACCTCTGAGGTCTTCTGTCCGGAATACCTCATGGCCTGTTGTCGCGAACAGAAGCGGAGCAGTTCTGTTGGAAAAAATTAAGGAACGTTACGGGAAGAAACAAAAATTATATCGTATCTTTGAATGATAGATTTTTCGGACGGCATTCGTGTCCGCAGGTCTCCCGCGCACACGAATCACGGTTTTTCTTCTCCGTTTCGAGATTTGATCGGCACCCCCTGCGCGCGAGAGAGAGCCTCTACTTTAAGGAATCTCAACTCCTTAAAAGAGGCTTCTCTTTATAAGGGGATGAAAATCCCTTGAGTTTTATGGTGTGGTATAAAACACACTAGAAACCCATCTTTTCCCAGTTTTTTCCATTTCAACGAGTGAACTTCGAGAATCAATTTATCATTCACCCGTTATCCGTTTTGAGTGTACCACATATTGAATTGTAGCCCTTAACAAGGACAATCCGAAACCACTTTGACCCGACCCAAATCGGAAGTGGACCACACTCAAATAATTGTCCAAAAATGACCATTTAATGCAATTTTTAACATATTTTTCCAACAGTATTTTGGGATTTATTTATTTAATTACCATTATCCCGAGAAAAAACTCATACAAAAGGGTATTTACCACCCATGTAATTTTCTCCTACATATGGACACGGTCCTATTCAGAAAATTATGTTAGGAAATGGAAAATTACCACTAATAATAACACTACTTTGTAGTTTGTACTAGGTACTATATTTTCGTTTTTTCGATGTATTTAAAAGTTTGCCACATCCTTCCCTTTTAGTAAGTTTTTCTTTTAAAGATACTCAATTATTCTTACGTTTTCTACTTTTTACCTCATCTTTCATACTTCTTTGTCATCTTTCTTACTCTTTCTAAACTATTCATTACTTCATATTAAAGTGAACATTTAAATACAGAAAAAGTATTAGATATCAAAATTACCATATTTTGACCAACGGTATACCATCAAAGATAACATGGGCATATTCTTCACCTAGTCTTAGAATCTTTATAATCAGAATGAAGTATGAACACGTTCTATATTCCTACACTTGGTTTTACCGCAGTCAGAGTAAAATTTGACCTATTTAAAAAAAGAACTAATTTTGTACTTAATTTACAGGTGAATGGAACTCTGAAATTTGGAGAAAGACACAAGCTGTTTAGACTTTAGTGAGCCGACATGAATATTATGATTAACGTAAGCCAGGGTTGTAGAACTGAGATGTTAGGTACCATACCATGGGAGTATGAAAATTGAAGAAGATGAATGGAGTAACCGGCACTATTTTCAGTAGTCGAGCCTGGAGAGCCTTCTCATCGGGTAACGTCCATTTACCCATCCCTCACTTTCCCTTCTTTAACTTCTCCTGTAGTTTTCATGATGTTCCTGCTGTGCCGAAAATTCAAGATTCGTACTCTCAACTCAGTAAATCTAAGTTTGCGAGTATTATTAAACTGGACGATGCAATTGCTTTGTACCGTCACATGGTTACAATGAGACCTCGTCCTCCCACCCTGAAATTCAACCACCTCTTGAATGCTGTTGTCAAGATGGGTTGTTACCACGAGGCTGTCTCTCTATTTCGAGATATTTTTGTTTCCGACCTTCTGATAGATAAGTTCACACTGAGCATTGCTGCCAATTCCCTTGCCCGTTTGCACAAAGTAGATTTTGCATTTGCTGTTTTAGGAATCCATTTCAAGCTGGGTCTAGTACCTGATGTGATTTTGTTCAGCACCTTACTGAGAGGACTTTTTCTGCAACAAAGGGTTCAAGATGCTGTTTGGTTGTTCCAGAAGGTCATGAATGAGAAAGTATGTGAGGTAAATGAATTCACATTATCCATACTCATTGATGGCCTCTGCAAGGTAGGACACACTGGTAAAGCTGTTAAGCTGCTTCACTTATTTGAAGAGAAGGGAAATTGCAAGCCAAATGTATTTGCATATAACACCATCATTGACTCATTGTGCAAGGATAAAATGGTGGACAATGCTCTTGGCCTGTTACAGAAGATGATGGGAAAGGGAATTCCTCCAGATGTTGTGACATATAATTCACTTATTGATGGGCTCTGCAAACTCAGTCAGTGGGAAGAGGTCAAAGAGATGCTAAACAGAATGATGGATTGCAAAGTTTCTCTAGATGTCCAGACATACAACATTCTAGTTGCAGGATTTTGCAGGGAAGGATGGGTCAGCAGTGCTGCAAAACTCATAGATAAGATGATTCAAGTAGGTGTCACTCCAAACACAGTCACATACAATGGTCTGATGGATAGATACTGCTCACAGGGAAACACTAATAGTGCATTCAGACTCTTAAAGACCATGATAGATATGGGAAGTGAACCTGATATATGGACTTTTAACATTTTGATAAATAGATGTTACAAGAGCGGGTGTTCATATGAGGCAGTACAATTATTTGGAAAATTACAAAGTCAAGGTTTAAAGCCCACAGTTGTTACCTACAACAATATGTTGGCATGTTTGTTTCAGGATGGGAAATGTGAGGAGGCTGAGAAGCTTTTTAAGGAGATGGTGGGAAGTCGAGCACATCCAAATCTCTTCACCTACAATATTCTTCTAGATGGATTCTGCAAGAATCATCATGTTCATCAAGCACTTTCTTTACTTAGGATGATGGAAGCTGGGAGTCCTGTCCCCCCCGATTTAATAAGCTACAATATTGTTATAAATGGACTATGGAATGATGGGAAGGCATGGAGTGCAAAGGAACTATTTAATACCCTTCCCTTTAAAGGACTTCTGCCAGATAAGTTTACTTACAGTAGTATGATCATTGGACTTTGCCGAGAAGGCTTGCTAGACGATGCTAGAGATATGCTCAAGAAAATGGAGAAAAATGGTTATATGGCTAATAGTGTGGTATACAATGTATTCATTCAGGGGTTACTTAAAAAGAATGAGTATAGTGAAGTTGTATTGATTTTGGAAGAGATGTCAAGACTTGGACTCTCACCTGACAATAGCACCTGTGAGATTGTACTTAAGACCATCTTGCAAAAAGGATCGGATTCCGCTCTACTTCATATGCTCCTGAATATAAAGGGAAACTGTGAAAGTAATAGTTCTCAAAATTAGTTATTCTAATTTAGCTTACTGTTTGCTAAAACTAGTAGTGTTTGACAAAATTTATCAACAAATAGGCACATTTTTGGTGGGATGTAGTTACTGCTATTGGATTGAAATGTATGTGAGTGATAGGGATCGACCTATTAGAGTATTAGACTAATAAATAGAAGAGTTAGTTGTAGTTATATTTCTGTTTGAGCTAATAACTACCTTCCGTTAGTCTGTAATACTATAAATAGAATAAAGATGAGAGAAAGGAGTAGGCTGTTTTAGACTTAGTCTTGGGACTTGGGAAGATTGAGATTCTCTCTCTCTTTTGGGGGGCTTCTGCTCATTGGGGGCTTCGGCCATTGTTCTTGTTCATCTCTAATAAAGTTTGCGGTTGATTCTTGATATACTCCCTCCGTCCCTGGAATGTTCCCGCTTTCCTTTTTTGGATGTCCCGTTGGAAAGTTCCCATTTCCCTAAATGGAAAGTTATCCTACATCAAAACAAGATCAAACAGTGCAAACCAGTGTCAAACAGTGTCGAAACAGTGCCAAACAGTGTTGAAACAGCGTCAAAATAGTAAAATTTACCCCCTGGTAAGTTTATTTCCTTAATATGTGTAGGTCAAACCGGGAACATTCCAACAGGACGGAGGGAGTAGTTCTCTGTAATTTCTCTGTATAATTGAAGTGTTCTATTAGTGGTATCAGAGCACGTTACTTCCTGGAGACGAAGAATCGGAATCATGGAGGATTTCTACATGACACCGCAAATGGAAAAGAGAATGGACAATCTGAATTGCCAGATGAAAGAGATGAACGCAGGGATGAATGCTACGCTGAACAAGATGAAAGACCTGCTGAACAGTATGGACCAATTTCATCGCAGATATCGATCAAGGAGCCCTAAAAGTCGCCGGTCTTCTGCGTATCCCAGTTCGTCGCCCTCGCTCAACAGTTCACATAAGGAGTCGCGAACTTCTTCGCATAGTTCACAATCGCGAAGATCTTCTCACCGTCTCCAGTTGCGAACAGAGTCTTCCCCATCGTCGCAAACCTCACATCGTTCTTCGCATAAGTCTTCGCATAGCTCTTCGCATCACTCCTCTCATCGCTCTTCGCTATCGGACAAACAAAATTCGTCCCAAACGCTCAATAGTTCCCAAACGGAATCGCGAACGGGTTCTCACCATTCGCAGAATTCTTCCTCTCAAGCCGTTTTTCTGAGTGCGCAAACAAAGTCTTCTGGTCCTCTGGCTGTGACGCAAGCAGAAGTCCCCAGTTCGCAGGTTTCTTCAATCGCTGGATCTCACAGTTCAGCCACTCTTGTCATCGCATCAAAAAAGGGATCTCCAGGGACTCTACCAACAACAATGAACACAGAATTGGAACTGGTTGTACATTCAATTAAGGAATCAGACCCTGAAGAGGAATGCAATGAGAAATCTTCAGTTAATATTGAACTTAAAGAGGGAGCAGTTGTTGGATTTTCCAGATGTAAGATGTTTCCCATGTACGATCTTGACCAATCAGACCTTGAAACCAATAGGTTGAAATTTCTTCAGGTATGTGAAAAGTATTCTCATCTTGAACAGAAGAGGAAATGGCCAAATGTCTGCAAAACTGATATGATGTATCGCCAGTCATCAAACATTGTATTGGAAGGATTGAACAACATTTCTGTTGTTGAATATCTTCGCCAACCAGGTTCATTGAGAACTTTTGAAACTGGGTTACTTAAAATCAAGGACATAATTTCAGGATATACATGCTTGGAACAGAAGAGGTCTGGTCCAGTGGGTCTTGAGGATCATGTTTATCCTTTTTCTGGGGAACTTTATCTTTTTTTTTAGGAAATCATGTGTTAATGTTCAAATTGGGACAGTGATTTCACATGGAGATTCACTAACTTGGATGAAGGTTGTGAGCGGTGGCAGGCTTGTTATGAATGATAAAGATTTGGAAACAGCTATATACAATCAGGAATTGACTGTTGGGAGGCACTCGTCTACTATGATTACAGCCATTTTGAAAACCAAGGTCGAAGAGGGACTTTCTGCTCCTTATATTTCAAAGGATCATCAAGACTATTCTCCAGTTGTTTCTTCTGCTATTGTGCATTTGAATGGGATAGGATATCTTTACCTTTGCTTGTTAATGCCTTTTATGTCTTCCTTATCAAATGAGATAAGCCAAGAACTGAAAGAGGAAGAAGTTGGAAGGTACAAAAAGGAGTTTGCATTCAGTACAGTATCAGTTTCAGAACATAGAAATCAGGAGAAGCTGCAGAAAAATGAAGAAATAATTTTTGATAGGGAGTACGGGAAGGTGACTGAACCAAAGGAAGATTCACTTTCTGCTGCTGAAGGTTCTGTGATTTTAAAAGATCCCATACTGAAGTCCCTAGTCCATCAACCAGTTAGATATTGGGAAGGAAGAGGAACAAGAAAGAGGAAGAGGAAGCAGAAGATTGTGGCTGTTTCCTATCACCCACCTTGAGGGCAAGGTGGATGTTTAGGGGGGAGATATGTTAGGGACCCGGTAGAATGAGAGTCAATAAGAAGAGTAATAGCTAGAGTAGTATAAATAGAATAAGCTGGGAGAAGTCAGGGAGGCTGTTTAGACTCATTTGGTCTGGGACTGGGAAGTTGGAGTTTATCTCCTTCTTTGGGACTGTGTACTCGGATTCTCCATTAATGAAGCTTTCAGTTTTCTTAGTTGCCATCCTTCTGTTTGTTAGTGAACTTCTGTAATTGCTAGGGTTTCTATCATTTGGGACTGTGTACTCGGATTCTCCATTAATGAAGCTTTCAGTTTTCTTAGTTACCATCCTTCTGTTTGTTAGTGAACTTCTGTTTCACACTCGCGAGAGGATTCACGCGGAAAATTGGGGAAGCTCGCAGAAAAGGTTGAGCGCGGAAAAGTGGAGAAAGAGAAGCACTCAACCCTAGAAAAGGAAAAGCGCTCACACTTGGAGAAGGAGAAGCGTGCGAAGAGCAATGAAACGAGGATAGGGTTGGACGAAGTGCGCACCAAACTGCGGCAAAGTCACCGGCGAGGACGATCGAGGACTGTGCGTCGCTGCAGGAATTCGAATAGCAAAGGTTCGTTGCAGTCACCAACGTCTTCTGGTCTTCTGGCTTCCACGCGAGCAGAAGTCCCTAGTTCGCAGGTTTCTTCAACCGCCGGATCTCACAGCTCACCCTCGCTTGTCGTCTATCAACCTGCGCCAGATTCATCTGCTTCCAGAAACTTTGACGTAGTCACATTAGAAGAGGGATTCCCAGGGACTCCACCAACAACAAATAATTCAGAATGGGAAGCCAAGATGATGTGGTCGATTAAACGTGACCATCAAATTGATGAATATCTTCAAGTCAAGTTAAACCAAACTGGGAAGTCAATCCATATATCTCGAGGTATTTACCTGAGAAGGATTGATACTTGTAACCCTGCCATTGAGTGGTCAGTGAAGGTTCAACCAAGATTTCATGAAGAAGCCAGTAAATTAGAGGAAGTGATTTCCCTTGATGAAGGATGTTGTGGTAAGCTAGAGGAGCAGAAGCTAAAGCCTTGCAAAGAGTATAAGAGTATTGTCCTGTTCCTTTCAGCTATGGTCAGACGAATACCAAGGAAAATGAACGGTTACTCTTTTCTCTTTATAGAAGTTTTTGTTGGGAAAACTCGTAAAGAATGCTGCTACCTCAATTTGGATTCTAGGCTTCATGATTTCTCCAACCTGAATAACAACAGCAAGGATTGTATTTCTTTTAGACAAAGCGGACTTCCTTCATCGGACAGGCAACGATGGAACCACAGAATTATGGCTGATATACTTGGTAATGAAGGAGCTGAATTTGTATTCTCGTCCACAAAGTGTTGCTGGGTTTCTATGTTGCTTCATAATAGCAAAGATTGGGCCATTTTGAAGATAGCTTGGGTTCTTCCACTCTCTGTTTCAAAAAAATCAGGTAAAAATGGATTCTCCTTTTGTGGAACATGCAGTGGCAGAGACATTTTGGTGGAGTATTTCTATTGAAGTTGATTGGTGGAATGATGTTGGGTGTACTCAAAGTGCAGCAGTGGATGACAGTATTTTACTGAAAAGCATCATGACAGTAAAGCATAATTCAAAGGGAGAAGAGTCAAATGGAGTTGAAGAAATTTGTAATTCAAAAATTTCTGATGAGCAGGTTAAAAGGGATGAGAATCCTGATGTTCAGGACATGAATATAAATTCTGCCACGTTTATAAGGGATATACCTCAGGAGAGCATGAAAATATTGGTGGCTATCGAGGGCTTGAAGACTAAGGAAGAAAAAGATACTTCACCAAAAACATTCTATGCTGCAGAAACATCAGTGAGTTGTAAAGATCTAATACTGAAGCTCTTTGCTCAGAAACCAGTGAAATATTGGGAAGGTAGAAGCGCCAGAATGAAAAGGAAGCGGAAGATCTTGGTTGTTCCCGATCGCCCACCTTGAGGGCAAGGTGGATGTTTAGGGGGGGGAGTATTGATAGGGATCGACCTATTAGAGTATTAGACTAATAAATAGAAGAGTTAGTTGTAGTTATATTTCTGTTTGAGCTAATAACTACCTTCCGTTAGTCTGTAATACTATAAGTAGAATAAAGATGAGAGAAAGGAGTAGGCTGTTTTAGACTTAGTCTTGGGACTTGGGAAGATTGAGATTCTCTCTCTCTTTTGGGGGGCTTCGGCCATTGTTCTTCAGTTGATTCTGGATATAGTTCTCTGTAATTTCTCTGTATAATTGAAGTGTTCTATTAGTGAGCGATTAACTTAATTACTTTGATGTCATATGGCTTTCACATTAGAAGTAATTATAATGAATAACTTATTGTGGAGTTTGCTGTGAAAGTGATTTTTCATTTGCTTTTTAGGGGAATTGGAGTTGGGACAAAGTATGCCGATCTTTTAACTTTTATTCGGAGTGAACCATATTTTAGCAGCAGCTATGCAAACTAGTTTAGTTGTTTGTTAAATGTTCTTATATTACATCCACACTGAACCTAACCAATTGAGTACAGCCTTTTGTTTTGCAGAAGCCTTATGAACCCTTATGAAGCAGAAAAGCCTTATGAACCCTTATGAAGCCTCTTTGAAACCTTCCATCCAAACTGAACCTAACTAATTGAGTACAGCCAATCGTGTATTTTGCAGTTCTTTTCTGTTTTTATACTCATAAACAAAGACACAATGCTGGAGATTCATTGTTTTTTGGCTTGAGATTATGATGGAATAAAGCAAAATGGCTCACTAAACTGTCTGCGCTTCTTTGTTATGAAGCAGCAGTTCTTTTCTGTTTTTATACTCATAAACAAAGACACAATGCTGAAACAGTATTTGAGGTGACATTAGACACAATTTGTTGAACTGAACTCTAAAGTCTAAACACTTCAACCAATAATACACTCTTTAAGATTCTGGGAAGATTCCCTCAAAGAATCTTCGTTTTGATTGGAATACTTCAAGCATATGAGCCGTTGCACAACAGGGTAGATCATTTGAAGGTCATTGTTTTGTTAACAGTTCACCTCCATTCTCTTTGTTTTCTGGTGCGCAAGTGAAAATATCAAACCAGGGAATTTTTTAATGCATTTCCAATTCTTCATTCCATTTTCTTTGTGGATGCCTCTTAATGAATACACACTAATTTTAATAGAATCTAACAATTTGAATGCCAAAACTTTCCAAATGAAGATGAAGAAGACCTGCAAATGGGAGGCATTTTTTGCCAATCATAGATTTTTCAAGCAGGGGGTGACATATGGATCAATCTATTAAGCCACCTATTCATCATATAACAGATCCATCCATTTACTATAATTGTTTATGTTGAATATCATATTCATTTATAATCATATATCTTTTATGTATGGAGATGATTGAGTAGTTCATATATTCCTATTAGTTGATAGTTTATAGTTCACTTTGCCTACTTTTCTAAACGAATATGAAAAATCTAATGGATCTGATGCACTAAAAGATTTTTATGTGAACCAATGAATTGGATTCGAACATCTTAATGGGTAGTCCAGATGAGTTAAGTAATAACCATTGAATGGACATGATGAATACCATGTGATCAATGCCAAGAATTTTGAAAAAAGTATCTCAAAGCAATAAAAGAAGTATATGTAGTTGTAAACTTGATAGAGAGAGTACAACATACCCCCAAAAGACTTGAATAGTGCAAAAAGTTCAATGTTGCAATTAAAAGAGAACGCAACTAGTATTATTTATTTAGTATCCTAAATTATGAAAAATCAATTTTACCTTTCAGATATATTGTCTAATAACTCTCGGTCAGACCACTTTGGTGACTAACAAGCACTATATTTATAGATAACAAATCAAATTGATTGCACAAGTGTAATTACATAAAATTTAATTATTTACTAACTGTATGAGTCAAGCCACTTTGGTGACTAACAAACTCCTTATATGTAAAAAATTAAATTTGAATTTCCATCTGCCAAAATCATGAGCAATTCTCTCAGTTAAAATTTCTAAGTTAACCATTAAATCACTTTGGTGATTAACAACTTATCATAACATTAGAAATTTAAATGAGTGAATATAGTCATATATTAAATTTTACTCAATTAAATTGCTTAAATTGATTTAGTACGATCACTTTGATGACTAACAAGCATTATATTTATGGACATAAATCAAATAGATCAAATGAATTTAATTATTTAACTCTCATATGAGAGTAAAAAATACTTCGTAATGCAGAGTAACTTTTTAAAAGAATGCAAAATAATGCAGTTGGTATACCGTGGGAGCAGCTCACGGTGAGCATGATGCTCCCACATCTAATTCACGTGTGAACAGTAACACGCGTGAACAGTAACTTTTTTGTTTTGTTTCAGTAACAGGGTGATGTAACCTGTGAGTAATGAAATGTAAATCACGTTGATATGCAATGTAACAGCAGACAAGTTGAGATGTAACTTTTCTAATACAGATAAGAAGAAATAAAACATTGGTTTCAATGTAAACAATGAAAAAAATGGTCTAATTGCTCAATTACTTTACATAAGTAGTGAATATGTTTTATCTTTAGTATTAAGGCCATAAAATATTTTTTTAAATATCTATTCTTTGCCAAAAAAAATTGCAAAAAAAAATATTGTTTCAATAGCTAGGGTTTATTTTGGTATGTAATTAGTGTTATGGGAATTGTAACTCGTGTTGATGGAAAATCTAATTTAGGTGTATGCAAAATGTAACTTGTCGAGACAAGTCTAAGTGTAACTTACTCACAAGAATATGTAACTCACGGATAAAATTGTGTAACTCGTCCATAAGAAAATGTAATTTCATATACTATCAAATGTAATTAATCAAAATAAGGAGCCTAAGCTCATTGCTCAATTACTTTACGTAAATAGTGAATATGTTTTGTATTTGATTATTAACGCCATAAAATTTTGTTTCTTAAAAAATATTTTTTTGCCATAACTTATTTTTGGGAAAAAATATTTTATTTTTGCCAAAAAAATCATTTTTAATGCAAAAAAAAATGAGTTTTTTGTTTCAATAGAAGAGGTTTATTTTGTAATGCAACTCGTATTATGAAAAAGTAACTCACGTTGATGGAAAAAATCTAACTTAGGTGAATGCAAAATGTAACTTGTTGAGGCAAGTTTAAATGTAACTCACACGTATGAAGATGTAATTCACTCATAAAAAGATGTAACTCACATACAAAAAGATGTAATTTCATATATTATCAAATGTAACTCTAGAAATTGTCAATAAACATAACTCACACATGTAGAAATATAAATCACATATGAAAATGTAATCTCATACTTTATCAAATGTAAATCAAAATTACCAAATTTAATGTCTAAAAACATTAAAAAATATAAGAGAGATAATAAATACATTATAGGAAAAAGTGTGAATATGAAAAAAAAATTACAAATAAGTGTATAAGTATAAAATATATTTATTTTGAAGAAAAAATAATTATTTTTTGGTTGTATAAAAAATGGAAAGGTGGGTCAACAAGGACTAAGAGAGAAAGAAAAAGTTATTCATTTATTTGAAAGGATGAAAATTTAATCACAAAATTGTAATAGTTCTAGTGTTTTTACATTAAAAAAATTAGTGGAAACATGATAGCATTTGATGATGAAAAAATTAAAAGTAAAAAACGAAAAAGCAAAAAAACGTAAGTGAGGGTATGTGTGAGTGGAGAGAGCTGCCACCATCCTAAACCAAATACAAGTATTAAGCAGGATGAATGATTTATCTTATTATTCATTGAATGGTCTGCTATGTATATATAGCCATGTACACATATACTCACGTGAGAGTAGTTGCTAGATCCTAAATAGTAGGATGTACACTTGGGTTTGTTACATATGATAAATACAAGTAGGTGTACAGATAAACACACCAGGCCGGATGGATAAATACAAGAGTTAATAATATTTATATTTTATACTTTAGCATGCCCCCGCAAGCGAGGTGGTCTGGGAAGAATACCAAGCTTGGAGCGATGAGATTGAAATAATTGTCGAGCAAGTGGCTTGGTGAGAGAGTCAGCAAGTTGATCCTGAGTATGAACATGTGTGACACGCAGTTGACCTTTTTGAATTTGTTCACGAACAAAGTGAAAGTCAATGGCAACGTGTTTCATTCGCGAGTGAAAAACAGGATTTGCACATACATAAGTGGCACTTAAGTTATCACAGAACACTGTTGGAGCCGAGCGTAGTGGAAAATGAAGCTCAGAAAGGAGGTTGCGAAGCCATTCTAATTCAGCAGATACTGAGGCGATGGCACGCTATTCGGCCTCCGTGGATGAGCGTGCAACAGTGGCTTGCCTTTTGGAACTCCATCTAATGGGGTTTGATCCAATAAACACAACATATGCAGAAGTAGAGCGACATGTGTCAGAATCCCCTGCCCAATCAGCATCGACAAAAGCATGAAGAGAGAAAGGAGTCTTAGCAGAGATGAATATGCCAAAATTAGCAGTACCACGAAGGTAGCGTAATACCCTCTTCACAACTTGCCAATGTTTTGTAGTCGGACAGTGCATGAATTGAGCAAGTTTATTAACTATAAAACTGATATCAGGCCGAGTAAAGGACAAATATTGAAGAGCACCAAGAATACTCCGATATTCAGTTGCATCATGAGGAGATGATGCATCAACCAGAGAGAGAATCATTTGGAGACACTGGAGTTGGTGTGGGTGCAGCCGAGTTCATGCCCGTTCGTGAGAGTAGGTCAGAGATGTATTTGTGTTGGGTGAGAAATAAGCCGCTGGAGGTCCGTGAAGCCTCAAGACCAAGAAAGTAAGATAGAGAGCCAAGGTCTTTAAGGCTAAAGCGACCTGCTAATGCTGATATAAAGGATTCCAGAAACCTAGAGTCGTTCCCAGTTTGAATTATATCATCGACGTATACAAGCAAGAATAATAGTGTGCTGCCAGAAGAGTAGATAAATAAAGAGGTATCACTGCGGCTATTGAGAAAACCAAACTGCAACAGATAGGTTTTGAGCTCACAGTACCAAGCCCTAGGTGCTTGACAAAGTCCATATAACGCTTTTCGGAGAAGACACACATGATGAGGATAAGCTTTGTTAATAAAGCCTGGAGGTTGCTGCATATAAACCTTGTCAGATAAGGTACCCTGCAAAAAAGCGTTGTTCACATCGAGTTGGCGAATAGGCCAACAATGTATAATAGCAAGAGTGAGAACTAGGCGGACAGTTGCCGGTTTTACAACCAGACTGAATGTGTCAGTAAAGTCAACCCCTGGGCGTTGATGAAATCCTTTGGCAACGAGCCGTGCTTTGTAGCGAGCAAGGGAACCATCTGGATTTTGTTTGACCCGATACACCCATTTACATCCTATAACGTTTTGCAGAGGAGACGGAGGAACTAGTGACCAAGTGTTGTTTTTCTCAAGGGCAGCATACTCATCCATCATGGCTTGACGCCACTCAGGATGTGAGGATGCTTGTTTGTAGGACGTGGGGGCTACAGGAATGGAAGAGGTAGTGGTATGGAAATTATACTTAGGATTGGGTTTGACAATGTGGTTCTGAGAACGAGTGACTGGTCTGTGGGGCTGGACCGGAGGTGGGCTGGGTACTGAAGTGGAACTGCTGGGTGATACCGACGGCGTGGACGTTGAGGTGGGAGGGGAGGGTGAGTGTTCTGAAAAAGGAGAATGGATAGTAGAAGGTGATGGTGAATGTGTGGGTGTGAGAGATGAGGTAGTAGGATTGTGTGGGGTGGAGACTGGCTGGGGAACCTGAGATGGAAGCGGGATGACAGTGGAATGAAAAATGGTGTTATCGGTTGAAGATGGGTTGGCCAAGGCAGTAGGTGATACTGATAAAGGCATGGATTTCAGCTGAGAGATAAAGGTACGTAGACTATGGCTATAGTCAGAGGAGGGAGGTAGGGAATTTGGGGAATTGTATGGAAAATATTTTTCAAAGAAAAGTGCATGGCGAGTGAGATATATACGACGGGTTTGAGAATGTAAACATTGATGAGCATGGTGGGTGGTAGAAAAACCAAGATATACACATGATTCAAACCGAGGTTGAAGTTTATGTTTGGTATAGGGGCGCATCCAGGGATAGCATAAACATCCAAATACTTTTAGAGAGGAATAGTGAGGCATATCCCCAAATAATTTGTGATAAGGGGTATCATTTTGGAGAGTAGGAGTGGGCATGCGGTTGATAAGATAAGTGGCATGTTTAAAGGCATACGGCCAGTAATAGAGGGGAACCTTAGCTTGAAGTATGAGTGCTAAAGCAGTTTCAACGACATGTCGGTGTTTGCGTTCGGCAGAGCCGACATGTTCGGGTGTGTAGGGTGGTGATTTAAGATGTTGTATGCCATGGTGGGATAATAAGGGTGTGAGTGCAGTAAACTCCCCGCCGCCGTCGGTATACAAGGTTTTAATAGTGGTTTTAAAATAATTTTCAATGAGTGCACGAAAATTATTAAAAACAGAATACTGGACAGATATAGAGGTGTCGGGGTTGTCACCGGCCAGAATTTCAGCTTGTTGGAGATGATGACGAAGGGTGGAAAGCGTGAGAGGCGTTGGCTGAATTCGGAGAGCAGAAATTGTTTCCTTATATTCTTGCCCAAAGCCATTGAGAACATATGACATGACTTGGCCGGATGAGACGGGGTGACCAATAGTGGCAAGATCATCAACTAACCCTTCCATAATTCCCATGTATTCTGTAACGGATTTTCCAGCTTTCTTTGTGGTGGCTAGGCTGTTGTGCAGTGAGAGCATCCTGGTGATGGATGTATTGCCAAAGCTGGATTCAAGTTTCTCCCATGCTTCCGTTGAGGTCTGGCAGCTATTGATGATGGGGCCTACCGGGCCAGAAACCGTTGATTGAAGTGCCAGGAGAACAAGGCGGTCCTGACGATTCCAGAAGCTGAGATTAGGTGCAGATTTATCAGGACATGGAGTAGAACCATCGACATAGCCTAGCAGGTCATAGCCAAAGAGGAGATTAGTCATTTGAGATTTCCATGATGAGTAATTGCTTCCATCATTGGAAAGTTTAATTGGAATTTGAGATGAGGCATTTAAGAAGATTAATTGTGGGGTGGGAGAGTTATTCGTAGGAATAACACCAGCAGAATGAGATGAGCTATTGGCATGGTCTCCCATTTGAGAAAAGAAGAAAAAAAATGACCGAAGCAATTCAATGAATTGCAGGCTCTGATACCATAAAGCAAATACAAGTATTAAGCAGGATGAATGATTTATCTTATTATTCATTGAATGGTCTGCTATGTATATATAGCCATGTACACATATACTCACGTGAGAGTAGTTGCTAGATCCTAAATAGTAGGTTGTACACTTGGGTTTGTTACATATGATAAATACAAGTAGGTGTACAGATAAACACACCAGGCCGGATGGATAAATACAAGAGTTAATAATATTTATATTTTATACTTTAGCACATCCAACAAGTTCATGTACGCTCCGTTTGTTATAAAAAACGGTACCGTATTTGGGATCGGTATACCATGTGCATGGTACACCGATCTCACGGTATAATTTGCCAAAATACTGTCTTTAGGATGAAAAGTCAATGAGATTCATTTCATATCTTTATCTGGTGGTGCTCCGATTAAGGGGTACGACGCCGAGGTCCAGCTTTTTTACGGATAGACTTATGGATACGGGTGATAGTCGGAATTATGAGTGTTTTAGCATGGAATTGCAGAGGATTGGGAAACCCGGTGTCGGTGCAGTGTTTATCGGACCTGGTGCAGCGGAACAGACCTTCAATTATATTTTTGCAGATAGAGAGCAGCGCCATAAACCTACTCATCTTTTCCTCATCCCCATCTCAATACCCCCTCCGTATTGTTCATTTCCTTATATGTACATATATACATCTACAAATAAAAGACGGCTCTTACAAGAAAAACAAGAGTTAAAGTATGTTTGTTATGAGAAAATACGAGACAATGTGACAATATGGTGCAATATGAGAAGTATGAATATCATGAAAATATGATTGGGATAAGGGTCAGATAGGGTCTCAAACTTGGAAAAAAAAGAGTCAAATAAGGCCATATTTAAGATGCTCTGTCCAGCCGACGCCATTTGGGGTGATTCCCGGTGGAATTTTTGATGAAATTTTTTGAGAATCTTATTCATTAAGTCTAGTTTACTCATATCAAATTTGAACTAAAACTTCAATCGGGAAGGCATACAAATGAATTCTTGAAGATAACTACGCAGTTAAAAGAGCAGTTATCTTCAAGAATTCATTTGAATGCCTTCCCGATTGAAGTTTTAGTTCAAATTTGATATGAGTAAACTAGACTTAATGAATAAGATTCTAAAAAAATAATCAAAAAATTTCACCGGAAACCGTCCCAAATGGCGTCGGCCGGACAGAGCATCCTAAATATGGCATTATTTGACATTTTTTTCCAAGTTCGAGGTCCTATCTGACCCTTATCCAATATGACTCTTATGTAAGAAAAGTACTTTTTTAAAGGTGAAATAATGGTTATATGGTTCAAGTCTTGAGAGTGGTCCTGAAGGTACAATCGAAAGGTGAGACGAAAGGAAACATTATGAGTGGATAAAGGTTTCAGGATCTTAAAAATGTATTTAACTCTTCATAATTAACTAAAACAAAACATTTCATAATGAAATAAGTCAAATAACTATTGTTTCGTAAAGGCCACAATAATGTTTCACGTACTATTACTATATGCTAGAAAACTTAAAGTATTTCAAAAGAAAATTTTAACTTGGCTTGTTAACCTTGTCCCACATAAATTTTCTTAGGGTATGTTTGGGAGTTTGAAGGGAAGGGGAGGGAAGGTTTTGAAGGTTAGTCATTGGAAGGGAAGGGGAAGGAAAGGGGGGAGACCCTTCTTGTTTGGGAGTAACAAATTTGAAAAGATAAAAGTTGTGAATGAGTTATAATTAAAATCATTTCACATATATGATGAATTCAAATTGTTGAATATATATTAATTTAAAATTGAGCTAAAATTGTCATTTAATTAACGACCCTTCAAAATCCTCCAATTCCGGGGAACTTGAAAATGGAGCATTTGAAGGGTTTTGGAGGGTTACAAAAGCCCTCCAAAACAATTTCCTCCATATTTTTAAACTCTCAAACATGAAGGAGGGGGGGGGGGGGGGGGGGGTTGAACCTTGTCAATCTTCCCCTCCCCTCCCCTCCCCTCCCAAACCCAATTCCCAAACACACCCTTAAGGAAGTCTTAAGCCTATTTAAGCGCTCACTCTTTAAGAAGTATAGTGGAAAAGAGAAAGGGAACCTCTCGCACACATGGAAATATTTAGCCGGTCTTAAAAGAAACTTTTCGGGTGCACCTGAGGACGCAATAGCCGAAATATTTAAGGGTTTTTTCTTTGAATATTACTAAACTAAAGACAATTTTCAAAAAGTGACCACATTTAGATTTAGACAAAAATATGATTAATATGTTTATATATGTGGAAAAATTAAAGTGACAGCCAAATGTTCATATCATTGTCTTATTTTTCGTGTCACTATCGAGTGTCACTGCACCATGACCCATGTCACTGCCGCTGCCAGCCACCGCCAGTCACGGCCGATGACCAGCGCAAGTCACCGCCGCCAGTCACTGCCGTCGGCCACAGTGAGTCAGTGACACCTCCTCAATTACACCTCCAGAGTTACATCTCCACAGTGACACCTACACAGTTATACCTCCACAGTTACCAGTCCAATCACCACCAACAACCACCTTTGCCGCTGCCGGCCACCACGGCGTCTTCCGCCGCCTGCAACCGACTCCGTTCAACACTGCAACCCCCTATCATTTAACTCCACCGGTAACCCAAGCCCCCAACTACCCCGCCATCCCATCACAGTCCACCACCGCTCCAACCACCCCGCCATCTCACCACAACCCACCACCCCCTGCCACATCACCATCTCTCAAATCTGACGATTCCACCACTATCCTTGACCCTTCCCTAAGCTAGCTGTAAACACCAGCTGCCCAACCGTCCTCCACCACCCCGCCCCTATCTTGTCTCATCCCATTAACACCATCGTAGCTCTAATCTTCGGCCAACCGCTGCCGCCTCCCTCAAATTGAACCCCACCGGTCGAATCCGACACTAAAGCTGGGTTGCGATGGATATGGGGGCGTAGGTTGGGCGGCGGAGGCTTACGTCGAGTGTGAAGGACATTGATGATGGCGTTAGATTCCCATCTGCCTCCCCATCGACCGGACAGAAGGAGAACAAACAAGGAATCCGGTGTGGGGTAGGGGAGAGCGACAACTGAGGTAAGGAAGACTGTGAGAATATTTTGGGAAAGGTACTCCAATAGGAGTCCTGGTCTGTATATTTATAATAAGAAGAGTTCAAGACATACTAGGAAACAAATATGCCTAATAATATTCTATTACACCCCCTCAAACTGTGTGGAAGATACAACGCGCAGGTTGTCTTTTAAAAAGTGAAATTGCTGAGTAAAAAGACTCTTAGTAAAAATATCAGCTAACTGTAATTTAGTGGGGATGTACTTCACAACTAAGTCTCCATGAGCTACACGTTCTCGGACAAAATGATAGTCTATCTGAATGTGCTTGCTTCGAGCATGCTGAACTCGATTTGCAGTCAAATATGAAGCAGATATATTATCACAAAATAGCTGAACTGGAACTGTAACCGGGTAACCAAGCTCAAATAGAACTGAACGAATATGTAATGTGTCTTGGATAGTGTAGGCAATAGCTTGATATTCTGCTTCGGTAGAGGACTTGGAGACGGTGGACTGCTTTTTGGACTTACATGAAACGAGATTGGGCCCTAAAAACACTGCAAAACCACTCGTGGACCGTGACGTATCAGGACAACCAGCCCAATCTGCATCTGAGTAGGCAATAATACAAGAAGCTTACGTGGAAGGTTGAAGCCACAACCCATGATCCAATGTCCCTTGTAAGTATCTAAAAATACGCTTGACTGCAAAAAGGTGAGTAGTGCGAGGAGCATGCATAAACTGAGACACTAAATGCACATCATAAGTAATATCAGGTTGTGTCAAAGTTAAATATTGTAATGCACCAACCATACTTCGATACTCAGTAGCATCGACAAGGAGTTCACCATCAGTGAGAGAGAGAGAGAGGTGCGAGTAGCTAATGGAGTACGAACAGATTTAACAGTGTGAAGATGAAAACGGGTGAGAAGATCAGACACATATTTATGCTGAGAAAGAAACAAACCTTTGGCTGATCGAGCAGCCTGGACTCCCAGAAAATAATGAAGATCACCTAGGTCTTTCATAGCAAAATGTTTTGCAACAAGATGAACAAAGGAATGAATAATAGCGGAAGAATTACCAGTAATAATAATGTCGTCAACATATAATAGTAAGTAAATAACATTATTATTCTGGCGAAAAATAAATAAGGAATTACCAGACTTGCTGCACGTAAACTGATGAGATAACAGAAAACTACTAAACCTATGAAACCATGCACACGGGGCTTGTTTAAGACCATAAATGGCTTTTCGCAATCTACATAAATGATTAGGAAACAAAGGATGAGTAAAACCCCGCGGCTGACGCATATAAACCTCTTCAGTGAGGTGACCATGTAAGAATGCATTTTTGACATCAATCTGACGAATAACCCACCCAAAGGAAATAACCAAAGTAAGAGCAATACGAACAGTGGTGGGTTTAATGATCGGACTAAAAGTTTCAGAAAAATCTACACCTGCTTGTTGATTAAATCCTTGAGCAACCAGACGAGCTTTATGATGTTCAATAGACCCATCAGAATGAAATTTTGCCTTATAAATCCACTTAGAGCCCACAACATTTTTTGTGTGATCAAACGTGACTAGATCCCAAGTTTTATTAGAAATAAGAGCATTAAATTCCTCGACCATCGCTTGACGCCATTTTAACTCTTTATTTTCCTCAGAAAAACAAGTAGGATCAGCTGAGAAAACAACAACGTTTAAATTAAAATTGGTTTTTGGTTTAAAAATTTCCGATTTTGATCGGGTTTGCATGGGGTGAATGTTGACTGGCGGTGTGGGGCTAGGGGAGGAGGACTTGGTTCGCTGCCGGATTCACGGTCAGACAAAACACCAGAGGAAGGGGAGTAGGGCGTGGTTGAGATCGTCGGAAGGGAGAGTTTGGGCTCGGTGGTATGTGTGTGCGAAGGGGTGTCGGGTGGTTGCGTAATGGGTTGGGTGAAGTTCGGGG